GAGTAAGGGTGTCTGACAACCCTACAGCAGAAGTCAGAGCAGCAGTCATCTCTACAGAAAGCTTCATACTCATTTGGGAAAAGCATGTAGTATAAAGGTACAACCGTGTCATCAGTGTGAGGCAGGGCTGCAGCGTGCCTTCAGCTGGATCTTCCCAGGGATGCTGCAAGCTCCACTGGGATGGATATTGATTTCCTCCTGCATTTCAGGCATCCACCTGTTTGCTAGTGGTGGACTCAACAGTATCGGTTGTAGTCTTCATTTTACCCAGGATAAGACGATGCTTGGGAAACACTGAGATAAAATGCTCAATGGGAGATACAGAAAAAATAAATTGGCCAATCTGCCAGTTGTGGGCCCAAGATTTTGCCTTCAGCATTTGCTTCCTGCGTCCTGCACTTGGGTGAAGGGTTAGTGAATACGTGTTCCAGCATTAAGTCTCTACTTCTTAAGAAAAGTATTTTAAGGTTTTAATTAATTTCTGTTCATTTTTTTCTGCAGTTGGAAAGGGTTCATTAAGGTCCAGGTTCTAGTTTCTTTGATAAAACTCTTTGGTCCGGAGTAACTCATTGGGGTTGCTTTGTTCTGTATGAAAAATTTTCAAAGTGAGTGATATGTTGAAGTGAGGAAGATCATTCCCAATTTATTTTTCACTCCTATACGTAAACATCCACAGACATGTGTTCATGCATACTTACACAGATGTATTATAAATACATATATAGGTATATGTGTGTGTGTATACATACACAATGTACATATGTATGTGTATGCATGTATATATCTAAAAATCAAGGACAGGTGCTGTCTCTCTCTGTATATATTTATATACAAGCATATATGTTCACATGTATATAGCACCTATCATTGATTTAGGTTATTTACTATATATTAGATATGTCTTTTTTAGATAGACACAGATAGATGGAGCTTGTTCTCCATTGTCTTCCTGATAAGGACGAGGGGAAGACTGACTGAGAGAATGCAGGTAGATGAATAGGATCCTCTGCAAACTCTCTATGTGAATGTAGAAAAAGCTGTTCTATAGGAAGAAAAGTTTTTCTTCTTTCAAACCCGTGCCCTGTTTTAATGTGATAATTCTTTGTTCAGTTAGGCAGTGTTTGGTTGCCCTTACATAAAGAGTTGAAGTTGTCCATGGCTGACTCAGGTCATCCTAAGATATTTCATAGAAATGTCTTTTCATTAATAACACCCTACATTTCTTCCTTTCTTTGATAACAACCGTTTCAGGAGTTGGCTACATTGTGCTGGTCTTCCCAAAATTTCTAAACAAGTGGAAGGAACTGTTGCCTTTAAAGGAGAGCATTTCTGTCCATAAAAGCTTTAAGGTTTTCTATATTTGTCAAGCTTTTCTTGATTTTTTCTGACCTGTATGAGATGGTGCATAAAATGAATGTAGTTTTCTGCTTATTCTTTTATTTCATGAGGCCAGTGTATCTCTGCTGGTTCACTCTTAAGGACAGAGTATACTTTCATGTGATCTAAATTAGACTGAAGCCCCTGTGCCTAGTGATTTATATTCACAGGTTTCAGATCTCCAAGGGCAGCTAGCTAACTTGGGGATTCAGCCAGAAATTTGGTCACCTGAAAAAGGATGGTATTGTATAATGATGAACGATATTAAAAAAAAAAATGTGAAGAGGAAATCAGGTAATTATGGCTAAGAGAGCACTGAAGCACAAAACACTGGTTGGGGGGGTTCTTTTGAGACTTTCTCAGTGACAGTATATTGAAATTTTCTATTCAGGAAAGCCTTGAGATTTGCCTCTGGTATTACATACCCTGAGAAATGGCTTCTTGTCTTTTCCCTACAGTTTCAGTATGACAAGCCACGTGCTGATTTTCAGCTGGTCCCACCAAAAGAGAAAAAGTAATAAAGATAAAAAATTATGGAAATCTGAAATCTGTTGAACATTTTTAAGCATCGTTTTGAGGCTTGGCTTAGATTTAGGTGGGTGTTTCAGGTGCCATTCTTTATCTCTGGAGAAGGTACTCTTCTCTTCTGTAATGGACTACTGGAGGCAATGGGTAGTTAGTAAAGCCTGGTTTAAGTCCTTCTTGTGAGTCAGAGCAAGGGAGAGTGACCTTTTCCTGGAACATAGGATATCCGACTATTGAGTATCACTGTCTTTTGTGTGGAGGCCATTTGACATTTTTCACGAGCTGCAGAATGGCTGTTGTGTATGGTGATGTGGGGACAAGCTGGTGCTCAGAGGGAGACCCAAGGCCCAGTCTTTGGTCTGATTCCATCAGGAAGGGAATCTGACCATGAATCTCCCACGTCCCAGATGTTTATCCATGTCATTGGGCTGCAAGATAGGAAAGAGCAGGAAAGCTCTGTTTTGTGAATCTAGTTGTTTGCTTTTATTAGCAACACTGCAAAACTGGAATGCTGTCTTGAGCAAAATTTTTCTTCATTATTCTACAAATTGCTCCAGTTCTTATTTTGCATTAGTCAATTTTTCATGACTTGGTGGTTCAACCAAACAAAGAAAAAGACAACAACCCAGTGTTGTATAATAGTCATAGTTTATTTTAATATTGTACAGCATCTTAGGTAGCACCAAATTCAAGAGTTGTCTCTCCAGGTAAAGAAAAACACTGCTGGGAATAATGACCTGTTTGTTCTTGATTTCGTGAGTGCTCTCCATAGCCCAAACAAAGACGTGCTCTTAGAAAACAAGCCCTCTTGTATATTAGTCATTGGCAGTATTGCTGAAGGAGAAAAATAAGAGAAGTTGCTACTCTCTTTCACATGTTCTCTCTCTGTTCTGCAAGAGTGACAGGGAGAACTACCATCTCTCTCTTGGTGAAGGAAGAAGGAATAAATGTAAGAATTCGTGGAGGCTAAAAGACATTTGGCTGTTCCCAGTGTCGCAAGATACTGAGGGCTGTTCTTTCACTTTGGGGTGTCAAATTGGCTCCTGAGTAACAGCCCCAGTAGTTCCAGTGCCCTTTAACTAACCCTGCTGACTTGTTTGGAGCTGCAAAGCTCCATGTCCTATCTCAACCACAGCTGCAGGTCACAGCATAGGATGCATGGTTATAAGCATATACATAAACTAAGCTGTTTAGTAATTTTGAAGAGAACGACAGGAGACCTAGTGAGTATCACAATACTTGCTAATTCACTGCATGCTTTGAGTAAAACTAAAGGTATGCACAACATAAAATAAACAGAAAAAGATTTTGTAGTATTTTGCATTGTATAAACCATTAGAGAGTCCATATATTGGTGCTATTTCTGTTTATTTTGTTTCCTGGGAAATTGCAGTACGTTGCCTAGAATGAAAAGCATCCTTTCAGATTGCTGCTGAATTTTCAAGTCCTTTCAGATAGGATATCAGCTTGAAAGAGCACCCAGAATAAAAGAGGGGACATCTTGTTTATTGTGGGTAGCTTGCAAACAGTTAACTTAAAACTCTGAAATGCCAAAGCACATCTTTTTTTCTTTAAGGTACTCCTTTAGGATCTTCCTCTCTCTGTCTCTCTTCTCTTTTTTTACTTCCTTCAGTTGGTTAAGAAGGGCTGGACACAACTTCCTCCAGAGCTCATCAGCGGCGCTCTGAGCATCAGCCAGAAGAAAGTAGTTAGGAAACAACACACGACACTCACCCCACATCCCCCTGAAAGCAAGAAATTAGTTCTGTCCTGTTCTTTTGCTTTGGATCACTTATTCAGTTGGGATGTAGGATCTAATGAGCTAAAGAAGAGTGCCCACATGGAAAGAAAATGCTGGTCATCTGGGGACAGGTTCTGTCCTTAGTTCCACATGGACGATTTCTATCAGTTTCGTGTGTTGCATGGATCTCAAGTGCTCCTGCACAACCATTCCATACTGGCCTAGGCAGCGTTGATGATGAAGCTTTGCAGAGTAGACCAGATGTTAGCTCAGCCTATTTGTGAAAATGCTACCTTAACTTCCCAAATGTCCATTTATAATGCTCTGCTTTACAGTTTTTGTGTCATATATAAAGATTGAGACTCCAATGCAGATCATCTCAAGGGCATGCTCTAATTTAGCCTCAAATTTCTGCCTGCTCCAAAACTGCTAGTGTTTTCTCTCTCTGTCTCTCTTGTTGATTCTCTTTTCCTCTCTGCCTCTGCCTTTCTCTATCCACATCAAAATATTATTGTTTTGCCCACTTGACACTCTCAGTGGGATGCTGCCGAGTACAGAGCATTCTAGCCCTCATTCAGCCAAGCTCTTTTGGCATAT